AAATACATTAAACTTTTTCAACTCTTTACGTACAGCAACAGTTTAGACAAATCAGAGCACATTCCACTGACTCTGTTACAGATATTGCGCTCACTCAATATTTAAAGTTAGATATAAAGGGTACGATATTTAAATATTCCGTAAACCGGGGCGAGTCTACCCATCCAGGGGCGAGTCTACCCATTCTAGTTTTATTTAATTTTCACTATTTTAAATTGCAAGTAAATTTTTTTTTACCGAAGGAGGACTTAGTTCAGACTCTAAGGAAGATGGCGCTGTAGTAGTTTGATCCGTTTTTATTTATTTGGTGTCTTTTTAACCGACCTGTTCAAACGTCTTTTGAGAGATTTGTATTGAAAATCAGCAAACTTTTAGTTGGTGCTCCGTAAGTATATTATTATTATTACTATTTTCACTTTGGTTAAGTGATAAACTTATCCAAGACTAAGATTACATTAATTTTATATGAAAAAAAAAAAAAGAATGTAAGTTTTGCTGTTGTAAACAAAAAGTCAGAATTCGCGGGGCGAGTCTAACCATTGATATTTAATTTTAATAAAACATAATAATATAATTTAGAACTTTGTTTATATTAAAATTAAGTCATTTTAAATGAATTTGAGTATATTATTTTAATTCTGCATTGATAAATTTATCATTAATACGAAAATGTATAGGTTAAATATAAATGTAAATATAAAATATGTTTACTTTACCTATCTTTTCAATTTTTATATTACAAAATTAACTTTTTTTATTTAATGCAAGTTAAATAAATTATTATTTATTATTACATATGGTTCGAAATTATATTCGCAAAACAAATGGATTTAAATGTTACAAAAAAATTCCACCTTAATTTCGATTTTGTTAATAATCTTTAATTATTATTATTATTTATTAAATATTTAATTGTAAATTTATATTAATTTTAATTTATTTTTATCAACAAAAATCAGAAAAAAATGTTATTTTATAATGTTAATGATTATAAAAACAAAACTGTGATCAAAATGTGATAATCGATCAAATACTCAATTTGTGTTATTTTATGAATAAAAAGAATGGAATACATAATAAAGTTATGAATTTTACTTCATAAATATCCTATATAGTAACCGAAATAACAATTTAATAGTAAAATTTGTTTATTTACAATGTTAACATTCATTTTAGTAGAATGGGTAGACTCGCCCCATACGAGAGATTTGTCAGCAGATCTATAAAAATATACAGTAACAGCGTAACTGTAAATATTTTCTAAAATCGATTTCACAGCTTTAAAGAGGGATAAATAGCGATTCCGAAACACCTATTAAAAACCTTTTTTCTTTAATATTTACAAAAGTTTGACCACTTGAAAGTTGACAAACTGAAAAAATGGGTAGACTCGCCCCGGATTACGGTTATTTAATTTTCAAAGATTTTAAGCTAGTTATGTTTGAATGTAATTATTGGACGTAGGAACGAAATAAAAATATCTTAATATAATTTTTGAGAGTTCTACTTAAAATAACTAGAGAAGAAGTTATTGTATTACCTAAAATGTTTTGCCTACTTTTCTTAGACAGCATTTATATCTTTGAAGAAAGGGAGGGCTTGGGATAATATAACTAGTCAAATTTTGCAGGAGAGTACATTTGATGAAAAGCACCACGAATTTTAATTAAACAAAATGTGTTCTTCTGTATTTGTTGTTATCTAGTAGAAATTTTGTGCATTTAAGTACCTATTTGAAAACAATACCGAAGCACAATTTGGTGCAAAGATGCTACCTTTGGAAAAGTTGAGGCTCATCACTATATTGCTCTAGCATGCAATTAAAATTTGATCTTTAGCAAAACTAGTCCATTTCTTTGGTCTTTGACTAACGTTTTTTAGACAAATTAAAAAGGACAGGTAAAAATTTGTAGCCCAATGAAAAACCTCGAAAAAACATATTTCCAAGTTAAAAAACAAAATGGTAAAAATGAATTTCGTTTCATTCTGTCCCACACTAAAATTTGAAACAACTTTTTACTATAGAATATTATTTACAGAGTAATTGTAAATTTCAGATGATTCAAGTGTTTTAAAGAAAGTTACAATTCCAATCGTCTCTGAAGAAATCTGTCATCGTGCTGCTCTCTCAGCTGATGTCCCTTTCCCAACAATAAACTTTATTTGCGGCGGTGATCAAGAAGGAAACAGACCTTGCAAGGTAATTTTTACGTTACTGCTAATAACAGTGAATCTGTATTAAATTGCCATGCAATTGTCCGAGATTCCGAGATTAAATCCGAGATTCCAGCAATGTGCAGAAATTGAGGATTTTTCGTAATCTTGACAATCGATATATCTGTCGTGTTTCTTGAGTCCAAACTTTAAAGCTCGTCTAGTTTGTCCAATATAGCCAAGGCCACACTTATAAGTTTTAAGTGACAAGATGTTTGATAAATACCAAAGTGACTTTCAAATCTTTATTTCCTTCTGCAAATTTTTGAAACCAATGAATTATTTTTCTAATCAAGAAATATCCTACCGCTTTAGTTTCTTGAGATTATTTATTTATTACAGTGCACTGTATAGATGATTGTTTAAAAAATTTTACTGTAACGTCAGATATTTTTGCAATAAAATTATTTTCAAAATGCTTCATTTTAAAAATAAAATGTCAACCAACTGTCAAATGTAACCCTTCAACCTCTTCTTTCAAAGGACTGCAGCCTGTTACAAGCAAAGACCATCCCAAGTAGTCTTTACTCTCTGGTCCTATTTGCAATAAGGCTTTTCCAGTGCCTCTTATTTACTATATTAACACTAGAAAGACGAAAAATTAGTATATACCTAGATTGCCGAAAAGCAATCAAAATGACTAGATTGTGAATGCGTAAATAAATTTGCTTAAAATTAATTTTTAAAATTTTTTATAATATTTATAGTTATATAACAAGTTATTAGTAAATATTAACAATAAAAAAATTATATGTTGTACAAAAAGTCACAAAATTCTAAGAATTTGTGTCCTTATATACATCATTGTTTTTCTAATTGAAATTAAAAGCAGTCAAAATGACTTCCTTAGGCAATCTAGTGTTAAAGTCTTTCTCCTCCGAGTCAAACCACTTAATTAGTGGTCCTCCTCTGTTTCTCATATGGTAAAAGTGAGATTTTATGCTGTATTTGTATTATCAGATCGGGAAAGATGTCCAAGCCATCCTAATGTATTGCCTTTTATGACTTTAACAATATCAGCTTGCTTGTACTTTTGAAAAATTTCAAAGTTAAACAAGGATCTTTTATTTCATGAAATGCACCAAATATTTTGTAAACCTTAAACTAGTATTCAAAATTTAAAATAAAATTTGATAAAAATTTGATTTTAAAACATTTTGAATGACAAAAGAACAGTTTTAAGAAGTATTTGCAGTGCATAACCTGAAAAACAAAACATATGAATAATTTATCGCTTTTTAAGCAATTTATTGAAAACTTAAACTTGTCGTAACTATTAAAACAGAGTTTGATTTGAACTTTTCCTAATATTTATATATATTCTATCTACCTGTCAGTGAAATATTTTACTTTCTAGGGTGATTCTGGTGGACCCCTTATGACCAAGGAGAAGGGGAAAATAATCATTATTGGCCTTGTGGACTTCTTTCTAGGAGACAAAACTGTTTGTGGAACTCCGGGAACACCATTTTATTTTCTTAGAGTGGCTCCATACTTAAAATGGATTTATAATGTAGTCAATCCCAATGTAACCCTTGTTCTTCCTAAAACTCAAACTTAATAAATGTATATATTTTAAAACTTCTTTCATTTATATTTCAATCAATAAATAAGTTAAATATCGTTCCTCCAGTAATTAAATTAGTGCTATTTGAATCATATCATTTTAATATGAATCAAAATCAACACAGTGACTTTTCAAAACATTGCAATCTTATCTAGAATGCTTAAATTAGGAGAGTGATGACAAGAAAGCAGCCATAATCTCTTGCAGATCTATCAAAATTTGCTCCTTCAGGGAAATATTTCCTAAGTGTTAATGAAAGGCAAATTGAATTGTTGATAAAAGTTAACTTGTCACAATTGCAATTGCTTACACTCATTTTATTTCCAGAACTTCTTCTTATATATGAGATTGGTTTATTTGCGTTTAGTTGTAGTCAAAATCACAATAAATTTATAAATCCAAGAATTAAAAAAAAAATTTATAAGATTCCTTACCGTGCTCTAAACATAAAAGTGAAATACTACGAACAAGCCGTAGACTTCGGCAGCTATGCCCATTCAGCTTTTGGATATCGTGAGAAAAAGTTATCTTAGGACCAACTCTCACAAAAAGCAATCCCGAGTAACTTTCTGTGTATTAAGCAGGTGTTACATGAAGCAGACAATTTTCCAGGTGTCAGCCGACGCCGATGTATTAACCTCGATGCATATAATTATAGCCAATGTATAGAAATACTCCCCCCCCCCCACTTCAAATGAAACAAAAACATGGCAGAAAAACGTGGCAAAAACATGGCAGAAAGATTTGAATATAATCCAAAATGGATCACATTAGGATCGCATAAGTACCTTTTACTTGAAAATCATCAAAAATAGTGTCTTGATTGTCTATAGCCTCTTTCTTTAATGAGCTGTGTAATTTTACTTTCTCACATTTGACTATATTTTATTTAAACTAATCACTGAATTTATACAAGGTTCTTACTTCAATTAGTAGTAAAGAAAATTCTAAAATACGTGATAGTGCGTCAGCACATATTGACAACATAGTATGCATCCTACTTTCTTATCTATTGTTTTCCTTTTAATTCTTTCAAAATCATTACGCAAACTAAAATTTATTCCTTCAAATACAATTCAGCACATTTTGCATAATGTAGTTTCATTTGAAGAAAAAAAAACTCATTCTAATTATTTTTAAATATTTAAATAAATAATTTAGCAGAATGCTAACTATAAAAAGAGTCGGCAAAAAGTGAATTTTTTAAACACCTCAACGTTTTCAACAATTTACTTTTAAACTTGTTCTTGGAGCGGTAAGTATTTTTTAAAAAACTCTTTTCCTCTCAAAGTTGCAGGATTTTTTTTAAATACTGTTCTAGAGTACTTTTCTAATGTATATTGCATTGCACTAAATGTAATACATAGTTTTGTTTTTTCGAATGACTTGAATAAAGATTCATGGTGGCTCACGGAATAAAGCTTTTGAGGATATAGGTTCTATTCCCATAGATGGGTGGTTGATACGAATTCTGCTCTCGGCTTGCACCAACCACAATGCTGACTTAAAATATCCTCAGTGAATATAAAAGGGAAATATCCGTAAAATGAGTGAAGATATCCTATAAAAATAAGTGAAAATATCCGTAAAATATCCCCAGTCAGGCTAACCATGCGAGGGTTTGTGGTTTTCCTCTCCATGTAACATAAATTCGGGTTAATTCTATCAAAAAGTCCTCTACGAAGGCTAGTTTGTCCCAATGCTTGATCCAGGAGTTTCCCTTGTCTTCTGGGTTGCAATTACAAATTACAAAGTTACGGAGCTAAGCATTAATAGTCATAAGCTCCGAATCGGGTCTGCTTTCAACGCCGGTAATGAAATAAAATAAAATGATTTAAACAAAGAAATTTCAAAAACAAGACATTAGTTTCTTTAAACATGATCATTTCGGTTAAGGAAAAAAAAAAAAATAAATAAGAACTTTCGCTAGTTAAGATTTCGATTCAAAATACTTTTGATACAAAAAACGTGTTCTTATGCAAGCATTTAGGTTCGGTAATGAAATTGATTACAGATATTTTCTAAACATGTATTGTAAAAACCCTCTAAAAATAATTCATTATTTCTAAAATATATATTCTCTAAGAAAACAGCCATCAAAAACTTGAACAAACAATCCATTCAGTATTTCTTTAAAAAAATGTTGAAAATTTCTTGTAACTTTTGCCAACATTTGTTCAGAGTTTTATCGATTTCAAGCTTTGTAAAACGTTATAACTAGAGCCCGGATTTTGATGACCTAAAAAATCTTAATTAATGCCCTTACAAACTGCAAAAAATGCCCTGAAAATGCAAAAATTGCGCTAAAAATGCCTTATGACATGACTTAAATAGAAGTAAAAATATTGAAATAAAACAATGTTTTACTCTTTAAAATTATGAGTCGTTTCAAAAAATACAAAGCAATGCAATACTTATTCTACGTTCATTAAAGTTTGAAAAATATGTTTTAAATCCTAAAATAACAAAAAAAAAGGAAAATATATTGACTCCAAAACACTTTCATTTTGTATGGAAACTTAAATGAATATAACAACTTCCATCTCATAATATTACTAAATATCAGAATTACAGTGGATTATTAAATTTTTTTTTAATATTTTGAAATGTAAACGAGCGTCTCTTGTCTGAAAGCAAATTTTTATACCAGGAGAAGCTTCTTTCAACGTCTACTGATGTTATTGGTGCGTACTTGAAAAGGACGGTCACACTTACTGACAATTCTTCTTCAATTTGAAAAGATGTTGCTTCACCTTTTAATATCACCTAGAGCAGGGGTGGCGAACCTTTATACACCAACGTGCCATTTTCTCCAAAAAATTGCTTCATGAGGTCATAGACGTGCCGTCAAATAATTTGACTTCGTGATTATTGGGAAAATAATAATACTAAATACTATCAACTCAAAACTCTTTATTTGCATTGAAAAAAAAATACATTTTGCAATATCTCAGTTATACGCGTAATTCAACTTTCAAGTAACATCAGTGTGACTACAGTTGTTGCGGATTAGATGACAATTGACTTATATTAGGTTGTAAGATGTTAGTTAGGACTGTTATTTATTTTGCTAGTTATTTATTGTTAGCTTGTTTTTTATGGTTATTAATTGTTTTTCATCATTAATTTTTAATTTTTTTATTAATAATTGTTTATTATTTTGTTTATTTTTTGAGAATTTTAATTTAATTTTTACATATGCTTCATAGTGTAACAACAATTGTGATAGGTGGAGTGCCCAAAATATTGTGTTGCATGCCATAAATGGCACGCGTGCCATTGGTTTGCCATCCCTGTCCTAGAGATTTTCTTCATTGTTTGGAAGCCAGTGTAATAATAAAAAATTATAAAAATTAGAAAAATATTAACAAAAAATTTTAAAAATGCAAAATACGCCCCAAAATTTAAAGAAAATGCCCTATAAATCTCAAAAAATGCTCTAATGGACAAAAAATATCCAAAAATGCAAAAAAATGCATATGTCATCAAAATCCGGGCCTTAGTTATAACTGTTTTGAAATATTTTTTTAATAAAAGGAATCGAATTCAAAGTAAAAAGAAATTATAAATATAATGACTTCGAAAACAAACTGTTTACAGAAAAATTTATCTGTTCTCTTTTTTTTGTGCTTTCTTTGGAAATTAAAAATAATCAATTATTTTTAATTTCCCTTTCCTTCTAAATTCATAAACAGGATAAAATGGAGCAAATAATATTAATTTTGATTCTCAACGTCATGATTTTGCCATGTCACTTAGCTTGTGCAGAAGCAACTTTTCCTGAAATAGGTAAGTTTTTTTCTGGAAAAATTCTTATGTGTAATAAACTCTATTTAATTTAAAATTTAGCTTTATTTTGGTGAGAAATTCTATAGTTGCACAGTGGGAAATTATAACAAGTAGGCCCTTACCACAAACTGTTTGCAGAAACTCTCTTTCAGAGATTTAATTCATGACGATTCTCAATGATCCACTTTCAACTACAATGTTATAAATAGTTGAAAGCTTACTTGGATAAAAAATTAGTCACCCCTAGAGAGATGGATTTGTTTTTTATTGTTATTATTATGGATTAAGTCAAGCTCATTGAGATGCCAAAAGTGAATAAGCATCTTTATTTTAAAGTTCAATAAGAACAGATGTTGTTTTTCAGTCAACGTCATCATGATGTTGCTGTAGATGCATCTATTTTTTTAAGAAGACAGCAACTGAATCCATCTGGTTGTGTAACTGGTCTTATGAACACTTACGCACACCCTGTTACATCTCGATTGGTCTGCAAGTTCACCCAACTTGAAACCGTGTTTTATATTCATCATAGCATCGCACATCTCTGAAAATTAGCGCTATCAAATCTTCCAGAAGTGAACTAAATTGGACCCTATAAACCTTCAAAAACATTGTGGACTCACATCCTAACCCAATCCAGGCTGTTATGGAGTCCCGAGACGGAGTTACATGGCATTAACTTTTGCTTTTCAATATTTTTCTAGTTTTAACCAATTTTTTTGTCTGGTGAGCTTATTTATTAAATCACCGATGTTTTAAAAACAGTTTACAATTATTATAGAAAATTTGTTAAACTTTAACTTTAAGCTTAAGGCAGAGTGATGAAAGTTATCAGCTGAATCCCTCCGCTGTTGACGTAACAGAACTTCAAAGAAAAAAAATCGCTCATTACAAGCATGGTATTCTTGAAAAAGTGAGAACATTAAAGAAAAAAGTTGCATGAGCGTTGTAGTTAAAAACATGAAACAAAAACATATTTTGATGGAGTAAGTCAGCATAATTTATTTTTATTTGTGTTGGCCGCTGTAAAACTCACTCAACAATTAATTTACAATTATTCCTTACACTCATGACGAAAATTCAAAATTACCACAATATTAAGGTTAACATAGTGTACTAAGAAATCATTTTTTACATGCGAAAAATTTAAATGTTGTCCACCACGAGCTTGTCGCTCTCTATCTCTAAAACTCGTTGTAAACCAAAACGATAACACGCAAATTTCCTGAAAAAGCAATAAAAATTTTCAATGATAAGCTGCATCAAAATGACGTACACACCCAGAAAATGTGCTAAGGACTAATGTGTGCTATGTTATTCTGACACAACTTGTCGCTAAAATTTTTATCACTTAGCCAAAGAATAATAATAATTATATTAATGTAAAAAGAATCGAGTAACTTGTTCACCACGATCTGTATAAGTCAGTATATCTAGATACCCTCAAAAATGATCAGGTAAAGCCTAAGTATAATGTACAGCTCAGAGACAATCCCAATTGATCTTTAAGTCCTCAGTTCTTTGATAAATGATATTTGATTTTCAAATAAAGTTCAAGTTTATGAATTAGATCTTTTAGCAAATTGAATTATTTTTTATAGTAAATATCAGTTAAAATAGTTCGCGAATTGGTAATTTTTTGCACAAATCAACTGTATGTTTTTATTTATATAAAATAAGATATCGAGAGCCTTACGCAGAAATTCAATATTTTTAACAACTAGGTATTACCCCTAAGGTATTCTCAAATGAAATGTATATATTTTCTACTTACTTCAATCCCCAGTTTAACACGGTTTATTCTTGATCTTTGTTTAATACTTGATAATACACTTAACACAAAAAAACAGGCGAATTTAAAATGTCCATCGAATGATATTTTGATTTAAATTTTCTACATCTTACGCATCAAAACAATTTTAAAACTGCTAATTACGTCATGCTTTCGGTTGATTATTTCTTTTTAACATTAACGATGTTCGGTTAACACAGCCATAGAAGAAATATTGTCCATCCTCAAAATACTGTGAAAAGTGAAGGTAGGGGTTCGATTCCTGTACGCTCCTGGGTGCATGATCTCGCAGTGGACTGATGCATAATCCGTGTGTTCCTGAAAGCATGATCCCGCTGTTGTAGTTCATTTGCGTCGCACTAGAGCTGCTCAATGAGCTATTGGCGACAGACTGGGAAACATCCCTGTGGATGATCCGAAGACATGCCATCACAATTTTGATCCTCTGCAGATGGAATGGTACCCCCGCTTCGGTATCCCGACGAGACCCACGCGAAGTCCAGCACTTTACGGTAGAACAGTTTAACGAGGACCAATACCGCACACCCTCGGTCCCTATGCAGACTTATCCAAGAGGTCACCCACCCGCACACTGACCGCAGCCAGTGATGCTTGACTTCGGTGAGCTGCTGGGAGTCGTGACTTAACGATCTTAACTGCGGGACCTAAAAACTGACCACCGCATGATCCCGCAGTGAACTGATCGCTTAGACACGTTTCAAAGTAGATCACTGAAGTCAAGCATCACCTGCTGCGGTCGGTATCTGTGTGGGTGACCACTTTGATCAGTCTGCGAATGGACCAAAGACGAGTGATATCGGTTGTCGTATTCCACCATAAATTGCTCGACTTCACGTGCAAGTCGTTGAGCTGTCAAAGCGAGGGAACTATCCTCTCTGTAGAGGATCAAAATTGCGATGGCATGTCTTTGGATCATCCTCAAAGCATTCATTTCTCAGGATAATTCCCAGACCGTTGCCAATAGTCCATTGTGCAGCTCTGCTGAGACGTAAATAAACTACAGCAAGCATACGTGTATATATAACTGTACGGATTTTGAGTGCTAAATACGAATCCCTGAAACATGTACGGAAAAGGAAATTTCGAAAATTTTATGGTAATTGAAGAGCTCAGTGGGATAATAGTCATTACATTTGCGAGAAAGAAAATTGGAGATTTTTCTAGGAAAGTACAATTTAACTATACAACATTTATTTAAAGCAGATTATAGTGGATGAAGATAGTTAGTGGCAATTTTATAGTGTGTTCTACTGCGAAGTGAGTCTTATGTGCATTTGGCAAACAACAATAAAAAGAAACGCCTTTCTTTGTGGCAGCGTATTAAGACTCTAAGGGTGAGAACATTAAGACGAGAGCGGTTTAAAAGAGTGTTAGTGTATTATGGATTATAGCTCTCCCAACTGGAAGCATTGGTTAAATAAATTTTTTATTTCATACTCTTTCTCTTTATTTGCTTACACATTTTAAAATGTTTCCAAATACTTCAAATGTCAGTCGTTCGAACATAGTAAAAAAAGTTAGAATTCATTAAAAACTATTTAGATGTTTTTTTAGGGAAAGTCTTCTTTTGTGCTTAGTTTTGTACTAAAGACCAGCACTTGCAAATTTGTATCGGTTGAGTCAAGGCTGAACTAGATCCTTTACTTAGCTGTTACAAACTATTAATGGTTACAATTAAGTTCAGCCTTGGTTGAGTAAGCACATCATACCAAATAATGTACAACATTTTTTTTTCCAATGCCCAGTAGGGAAGATTTGTCGGCACTCTTTCAGAGGGCTTCATATTAGGTGGGCCAACGTTGCTCCCACAACTAAGGACAGATAGAACAGAGAATAAAAGAGCATCCATACCTTGTCCGGGGCTCGAATCCAGGACCTTTCAGAGGTGAAGTCAGCTCCCTGACCACTACACATTCAAGTCAGCATAATGAGCAACATAGAACGTGAAAAACAGATTTTTATATCAAAAACTATTCAGCTTGTTTGGGATTTCATTTTGCCAACTATAGTTAATGTAATTGCAATTGACCAATTTTTAAATTCAAAAACTGAATATGTTTATCGGTTTGTAATTTGTAACAAGTGATATCTACGGAAATCATTAAAACTTCCCACTCATTAAAAAAGTTAAGGGGCAACTAATCTACTCCTTAATTGTATGTGTTATCACAATGTACCAAACATTTTGAATGCACAAAAACGAGAAACATATAAGTTATTTCGTAAAGACTTCCCTTATCATATATTTTTAGAATCCTTATAAAAATGAAAATAAAAAGTATGTACTTTTGGGGTCAAATTAATAAAAATTAAACAGGAAAAAAAAACAAGTCAAACGAATTCTGACAAATCAGAATAGGAGAAAGCGAATATACCAAACATCAAAACAGTTAGAGATTTCTAATAATCACTTTCAAACTTCTCTCTATATCCTCTCGAATCTGTCTTATTCTTTATTACAAGAACAAGATAGATTTGAATACGGGTCCTGTACTGTCCACAAGTCCTGTACTGTGATTTGTCGGATTTCAATAGTGTTTTCGATTTTTCCTCTATAAAATATTAATTGGAGACTCCCAATGTATAGCTTTTTGTGTTATTAATTTTACTAAGGATTAAAAAAATTAAGGGTAGACTTATAAGGGCGAGCATTCTAAATTATGATGTACAATGGTGTGAAAAATTACCGTAAGATATACCAAATTATGTGACATTATTTGATGATATACTACTAAATTATACGTGGGGGTTTAAATTATGTGTGGTTTTGACAAACCCTGTAAAATCCTCACTCAAAAACAATAATTTCAACAACAAAAATGAGTTGAGCATAAGAGTTAATCTTCGTGCAGGTCGTCGGGTTACCGAAGCAAGGGTGCCATCCCCTCTGCAGAGGATCAAAATTGTGATGGTATGTCTTCGGATCATCCTCAGGGATGCTTCCCAGACCGTCGCCAATAGCCCATTGTTCAGCTCTAGTGTGACGTAAATAAAATACCTACCTACCACTTTGATAAATGTAAACTAATGCGAACCTTACAATTAAATTATTAATTCCTTCGTATATTATTGGTTTAAGTTGTCAAAAATTAATATTTCAATTGTAAGGTTCGCATTAGCATACATTTATAAGAATGTTGTTGTTAATTTACTTCGCACTAGAGTTGCGCAATGGGCTATTGGCGACGGTCTGGGAAACATCCCGGAGGATGATCCGAAGACATGCCATCACAATTTTGATCCTCTGCAGAGGGGATGGCACCTCCGCTTCGGTAGCCCGACGACCTGCGCGTGAAATCGAGCACTTTACGGTAGCACAGTATTACGAGGACCAATACCGCACATCCTCGGTCCCTACGCAGACTGATCCAAGTGGTCACCCACCCGCACACTGACCGCAGCCAGTGATGCTTGACTTCGGTGATCTGCTGGGAACCGTGTCTTGACGATCAGTCCACTGCGGGACTTATAAGAGTGGAGAAAAGTACATGCATTTTTAATAGTTTTTTTGAATATGGCTCTTTGAAGACGAAAAAGCATATATTTTCTTACAAAATGACTGATAACTAAAAAACTAAACCAAATATTTGAAAAAGAAAAAAAAAATACTTCTTCATTATGTCAAAAGTGCTTCATTATGTGCCGAGTTTCGTGCCTCGGCGAGGTTCTACTCTACTGGCTTCTGGGGCGATATATTGTGAGTGAGACAGACGCACACACAGCCGCGTCTATTATTATGTATAGATTAAAGACCCTCTTAAATTAAGCTTTCTTTCTATAAATGTCTTTTCAATAGTTAAGTTTTTTTTAGATTTCCTTTTTTTATGCATGGCGCCTTTTTTTGTTTTAATTCTCTTGTCACCCATTTCCTTTTTTTTAAAAAAAAGATGTCTTGTGTCACAAAAATTTGTTGGAGCATATTGTTTGTTTTTACGAAATAACGAAATAAGGTGTTTTACAATAATAATGTCTTACAAAATGCTTTACGAAAATAAATATTCAGCTGAATGAAAAAATTGGTGTGATTTTCTTCAATCTATATGTTCTCATTGTTGTTACCCCTTTTTCCTCATGTATGTGGTGAGTACCTTTTTTTATTGTTAAGGGAATTTGTAATTTTCACATTGGAAACATCATTTTACTGTCCTAAATGTTAAGTCTGTATCTGGATATAGCATGTTGTTTATCGTTTTTATCTTTAATCTTAAATTTATTTTAGTTTCGCCCTTTTTCCAAATTTGGTGATACCAATTCATCCAATTTGTTCAAACCTCACACTTTGTGACCCGTTGAACCCTATTGGACCCTTTGTGACCCTATTGGGTTATTGTTATCCCACATTATCATTGTACTACCACTTTCCGTAACGATCACATCCCAATTAATTTAATTTAATTACCTTTTATATGTTTCGGCCTTTAATTTATTTATCATGACATTTCCATCATTTACCTATTTATTAGCATGACTATATCCAGAGATACATCCATTTATGCATCCCATCCATTTAAATAATAATACATAAATAACTTTACTTTATTCGCACCAATTCAATTATTTATTAATTAAACTCTTACAATATACTACTGAAGATTCTGAAATTCTCAATTATATTCAATTTTATTTTCACATTTCACCAATTATTCAGAATGTGGGACAAATACGCTACCAGGTGGTGGACGTACGTGGGCAGAAACCAGTGTCTCAAAGTACCCTTGGGTGGTAAGTTTTTATTTTTATTATTTATTTATTTTTTAAACTGTTACCATTCACAAAAAATTTTTGTTACTTGATAATTTTTGTCTTTTTTTTAAAAAAAAAACATTACACATTTTGTAGAATGTACCAAAATTGTATTGTAAACGTCCTTAATGAAAAATAATCTCCATATTTTTCAACTAAGAAAAATAATAATAATAAATAAATAAAATATCTATAAATATTCAAGTAAAGAGCTTAGATAGAGTAATACGGTAATAAGCTTCACTTTTATCAAATTGACATTTTCGATTGAACTGTTCAATAAAATTGTTTTCACAGTTCGGCACTTTCCAAGTTATTGTAATTTAAACTAGATGACAACACAATATACAGCACCATATTGTTGTCTAAATGGAAATCGTAGCGTTTTTAATCAGAAACGCTACACTAAACAAGATTTAATATGTGGCTTATCATTAGACTACTTCAAGTCCTTTAAATATAATAAGTACTCGTATAATATAAACTATTTGCTGCATAACTGCAAAATTATTGCTGATGATTCATCCACTTAATATGATCAATACAATTATAATACCACTTTTGATAGCAACTTTCATTGGGAAAAAAATTTATTAATAATCATATAAAAAAATTTTTTAAGAAATCATTGCATACAAAGCTAGAAAAATATACAAAACAAAGCTTCCTAAATTCAATGAATTCTTTTTCTCCATACACTTACCAAGGCGCGAATTTTACACTCGTCAACTCGCCGTTGACAATCACATATCTAAGGCTGGCGTGTAAGTTGCTTAGTTTAAAATGTTGAGTAACCTAAACGTGACGCAATTGTAGCCTTCGTTTATCGTCGGATCATGATTGTCTCCCTGTTCATCTGTATAATATAGGCCTTTCCGCCACACCTTTGGTCCATTTTGTGATACTGAAAAAGAAATAGGTAGGGGCCATATGCTTTGATGTAGGACCCTTAGTGGACACACTGAGTTCTCAAGGTACTGGGAAGCAAGAGAGGGCAATGGCTTCGGTCTTGTTTTCTCATCTGATGTACATATTTTATACTTTTGTATCTTTATCTTTTTTTAGATATTCGTACTTTTTTGTTTGCCATTGGTAAGAATTTTTTTTTTTCAAATGTGCGCTTTAAGATCATCATGCATCTAACGACACGTAGAATTATTTTAAAATCAAGCTACGACATTTTCCTACAATTTAGAACAGAAATGCTACATCAACCACTTTATCTTTTACGAAACCATTGTTTCCGGAAACACAGAAAACTTATAATTACCTGTACTTAATATTACTATTATTGCAATAAATGTGTTTCGAGTTTCAAGTTTCTACATTCTTTTACGGTTTCTACCACAAAAAGCTTTTATCTTTAAATTAGAAAGATCACACTTAGAAATTGATCACACTTTTTTATGTATGTAAAATGAAATAATGGGAAACATAAGTTATAATCTGGCTAGTATCTTTAGAACTCAAATTTCATGCCTTACACTAACGTTTTTAATTAATCATGCAAACCAGAATGTCTACATTACTTGATTACTAAATTCATTTGCTTCGAAAATATACAAATTGGAAATAACAGTTGACATATTTCAAACGCTCAAAAACAGGCACTCATTTTCAAGATTTGCCAGACGTGAATTTTAAAATGTCTATATTATACTTTAACTCGTTTAGAATCAACTTTTCGAAACTATGTAGCTATTATTTTAAAAAATTTTGCATTAAAAGATACCTATAAACCTGAACCACTTTTTAAAGAAGAAAATTAAAAATTCGCAGTAAGATTTTTTTTAAAACTTTTTTTCAGTGTAAAAAATTTTAAGTTTTCAAATTATAGGTCTGGGTCGAAAATTAGGTTACGGGGGCCTCCAAAAGTGAATTGTCAATGCTTCTTGTAAAACAAAAATTAGTTTTCTTTTTTTAATTTCTGGAATAGGTTTCCAGTTAAACGTTATAAAATAGGATACAGGTGTTCCATAGTCTCAGCTTTTATTGTATATTTTTAGTAACTTTGTCAAAAATTAAATCAAAACAACTGAAACAATGCTAGTTAAAAATTAATATTTAATGAAGAAAGACGAAACAAATTTTTTAAAAATGTTGTATTTTAAAAATTTGATTTCTCAGGAACTATTCGACCGGTTTCACTCAAATTTTTTATTTTGTTATGTAAAATTACATTCTTTAAAATTATGTAAAAAATTATGTATCTCAACAATTCTAAACTTTTTCCACGAATATTAAATAAAATAATAAAAAATACTAAATAATTACTAAAAGTTATTTTTCGCAAGAAATTTATCTTTGAATACACGAATTTTATAATTGGGTGCAAAAATTTTCTAAATTCGCTTTAAAAATTCTCGAGATATAGCAAAATACGTAAAAAAATAAAATTAACATTAAGGGGTCCGAGTTTTGTATCGCTCTTCTGACCAAACTATAAGAATCATAATTCCCAGATTGCAGCTACCCAATATATTTTCAAAGTCAGAAATGAAGGTATGTTTATTTAGAAAAAGGGCGTTTTTTATGTTTGATCTTTTAACTTGAAATATCGTCTGCAATAATTAGTTAGCATATTTGAAGTCACTCCTTTGAAACATTAAGATTGAGTCCTAGCTCGTGATGATCCGATCATTTGATTAAAAGTTATCAGGGTGGTATGTTTTTTATTTTGCGCACTGTGCACTCCACTTTGTTTTCGTTACCCAAAAAGTATAATTTCATCATCAATAGTTGAAAAAGTTTAAATTACGAAACTTTGAAACTAAAAATTTAGAAAATAATTTCGGAACATCGTAACTTGCAGAATCGTTTGTTCTAAAAATTGTTTCTTTCTTTTTTTTTTTAAATCTTAGAGTTAATTTCGAAATTGTTGTCCTCTTACTAATAAATACTGTTAAACTACGATTTAATATCGGTAAATGTATTATTGTTTGCATGCCATATTTTTATCAATATTTTTATAGTTTTTCATTGCTTGTTTATAGGCAAGCATTTACTTTAAGGATCCTTCTGCCAACGAACAGGCAAAGCTTTATGGAACGGCATCAATCGTTACAGCCAAGCATTTAATAACTGTCGCTAAAGTTGTTACTTCGAGTGATACATATTATTCAGACACGTAAGTAACCAAATTAAATATAAAACAAACTTTTAATATTTACTTTTTACTCTATATACTTAATATTCTGATTTAAAGTCAAAGTGAAGCTGACGTCAGTATCTCAGCGTATTGGGCTCACTGCGCATTTGAAAATGTTGGCAGAACACGCACAGTTGACGTTCAGTGTATGTGGATAGTCATAGACAAAACGGGTAGATTTAAACATTTTTTTTATTAAATAAAGTACCAACTCGATACATCAAACAACAAAAAAATAATTATATATATATATATAAATATATGCAGAAGCAAC